GGGTTTCTCCACATAGTGCAGGACCTGGGGACAGAGCGGGCTGGGGTCAGCAGAGGAGGGGCCACGGCCACCATCCCCTAAGACCCTCCACATCTCCAAGTCCTCCTGTTGCCACGGGAGTCTTCCTAAAATGCAGAGCATGTCTTGTCACTGTCCTTCAACTTCACCTTCAAGATGAGTCTGAACTGTCCGCCTTCTTCCTCCCGATCCTCCCCACCTCCCAGCAGTTCCAGAACACAACTCCATGCCTTTCGGAATGCCCTTAACCAACTCTTCATCTGGAAGACTTTGCTTTCAAAAACCCAGCTGACATTGTCACTCCCTCTCTACGCACACTCTTGTCTGCCCCAAAGTCAGCTTCTCAGCTCTGGGCACTCCTGTTCTCACCCACCCACTGTGGCGCTTGTGTCATCTGCATTGGTTGATTTTTGATGTCTCTCCCCCAGACTGAGGGCTCCTGAGAGGCAGAATTGTGTCTCTGGCTGTTTCTTTCATACCTATTTAGTGCCTAACACAAAACTCTGTGTGTGTGAATATCCTATATAATAAAAGGCTAATATGCAAATCAACTGAATGGCAGAATGACCCGTCGCTATGACACACACTGACCACCAAGGGGCAGACACTTAACATAGGAGTTGCCCCCTAGTGGTCAGTGCACTCCCACAGGGGGGGAGCACTACTCAGCCAGAAGCCAGGCTCATGGTTGGAGATAACTGCTTAGGCTCAGTCAGACACCTCTTGAGGGCTCCCGGACTGTGAGAGGGCATAGGCCAGACTGACAGAAACCCTCCCCACCTCACTGAGTGCATGAATTTTTTTGCACTGAGCCTCTAGCGTGTGTGTGTGTGTGTGTGTGTGTGTGTGTACATACATTCGTATTCACATATGAATATTTAATACTAAAACTGAACAGACAAAAGGGGTGTGTGAAAGTCAGTGAGGCTCCAGAGCAGGGAGTTTCAGAGATAGGGACAGAGATCTCCAGCCCCACCTCACCTTGCTAATTATGCTCCCACCTCCCTAATTCTGAAGGCACTATGCTGTTTCCTAACTCCATGTCTTTGCATATATCGTTCCCTCTACCTGCAATGCCTTCTCCTGTCTCCATGCTGACAAACTGAACTCAGTTCAGACCTCACCTCCTCCAGGGAGCCCTCCCCACCTCTACCCAGGTAGGCTAGGTAGGGGCCCTTTTTGTGTTGTCATAGCACCCTGTGCATATATCTATTGGAGCACCACACTCATGGCATTTATCTATTACCTCTTCCTAATCTTTCTTAAAGGGACAGAAGGGAACAACTGAGGGTGTGCCACACCTGTTAGACAACATTGGGGCCCACCCCATAGCGTTCCAGCATTCTCTAGAAGCTGAGGAATGGGAAAATGATGATACAGCCAGCCTCCTCTCTGCTCTTACCTCATGTGTCTGTGGATTCTCTACAATGCAGCCATAGTTGAGGGACTGTGTCCTGTTAGCCTGAAAGACAGATACACCGAGGCAGTGACCTGCCTGCTCCAGGGCAGCAAGGTCTGTTTTCTCTTTCTTGCTTTCCCTCTCCTATAGCACATGGCACGTAGCTCTGCCATTGACAAGCCTTCAGATGGGGTGAGTACTGACAGCTGCCCTCCCCACTCTACTTCTGAGCAGCTGAAGGGCTCAAGGTCTCTCTCCACCGCCACCTCCATTACTGCAGGGGTTTCTAGCACCTACCCCTCCTGACATGCATTCCCACTCCAACTTCCTGTTCTGGCCCTGCCTCCCGAACAACCCGCATCCCAGGAACCTCTCTGGATCACCCCCTCAACACCCTCCAGCCCCCCTCACCGTGGTGCCCAGGAGCAAGAAAGGGTGAGGCTGGTGTCTGTGGGCAGCCAACATAGCGCTCAAGGGGAAGTCGGAGCAAACATCAGCGTTGAGCACGAAGAAGGCCTCAGGGCCCCCAGCCAGGATCTGATCCCGGAAGTGGTAGAGACCACCTCCTGTGCCCAGAGGGGCAAATTCCTGCAGGTACCTGTCCCCAGAGACCCAGATCAGTGAGATCAGAGGAGACAGATACCAGGAATCTGGGCAGTGACTCCTCCTGTTCCCAGAATATGCCTGCCCAAGGCCCACAGAGAAACTCAATATACACAGGAATTCAGAAACCTCCTCGTGTGTGAGGGTGACTTCTGGCAATGCTGGCTCAACCCACTCGTGAGAACTCAGATGCCTAGAGCACTGCTCCCCCACCCCTACACAGCACATGCACACAAACACCCGACCTGACCGGAAGGTTAAACTCTTGCTGGGCAGCTTCTAGGAACCGGGTAAGTGGCTCATCAGGTTGGTAGAAGCCAATGAGCAGAATCTCCTGCATCCCAGGGACCTGAGGTCAAGGGAAGAGATTGAGAGAAAAACAGCATCTGATAGGAGGGAATTATGGGAGGGAGAAATCCCGGGTACTGGCCCAAAATCCAGAAACCATGCATTTAGCCTCAACTGTGGCCTTGGTTCATTTTACCATGCTGGTCCAATTTCTCCTCTGAACAATGAGGAAGTTAGAGTCTATTTCTCTTAATTAAAAGACTCCCAAAGTTAGAGTCTTTTCATCTTTTATTATTCTATTATCCCCCCACCCCCTAATCTGAAATGGAGTTCACCCTAGGAAAGATTTTGCCTATCAAGCTACATTACAGGATAATCCATTCATTTCCCCCATATTTATTACCTATCAATCTGAGCTTAAGATCACTATGAGGTTAAGAATACCATTTATCAAGTGTCTACATTGTACTAATTACTTTATAAACATCATCTCTAAGCTCCAGAATCCCACAAAGTAGGTCTAATCACTCCCAGTTTACAAATAAGGAAACTAAGGCTGAGAAAGGGTGAGAAATTTGCTCAATTCCTTTTAGCAGGCAGAGACTGGACTCAAGTCAACCTTGCCAGTCCCAATACCAAAAGCAATAAAGGAATTAGCTCCATAGTGAGCAAGAATAGCATGATTCTGTGCTTTGTTATCATTAAAGTTTCTCGTGCTACGGCTTTAAGTTGTCTCTAAGATTCCTGGCTACTCTCACATTCCATAGGCGTGAAATAAGAGCAAGAAGAAGCCAGACAAGAGACTACATTAGGAGGAGACATGACAACTGCATTGCACAACTGGTGGTGATGGTGGAGGGAGATGATGCATAGTGTCATTTGTAAATGGTGGTCCCTGGAGTTAGGCCTGGTGGGAAGAGATCATGGTTAATAAAGGGGGAAATACAGCATGAAGGAGATAAATGGAGGTGGGAGGGGGGAGCCTACGGGATTACCTGGGCACAGGCCTCAATGTGGTGCTGAATCATAGGGACCCCTGCCACGGGAAATAGGGGTTTGGGCACCTCAAAAGACAAAGGTCTGAAGCGAGTCCCTGAGAGAGGAGAGAGAAGCATATTTTTGTTTTCTGCTTCCCTCTACCTCCCATGCCACCAACTCCAGCCCAACCTTCCCCTGGCTCCTCACCCTTTTGAGGGCCTCCAATCAGGATCACAGCTTTAAGCATGGCGGCAATTGCTACCTAAACCTCAAATAGCAAAGAAAAGTTAGGCTCAGATCTCACACCCCACTCATATCCCAACCAAACCCTAAACCCAAAACAGCAACACCGAGCTCTCCCAGGACATAAATTCAATCTAGTCCCTCTCTGGGCTCACCATCTCACAAATCTCACACATCTCAGATCCCAACCCAAATCCAGTCAGCCTTCAAACCTCACAATGATTCCTCCCAAATTCTGAAATCCACATCCCACAATTTGACCCCTAACAGACTTCCTTCTGGCTGAAAACTCAGCAAACTCCAAAACTCAGCAATAGACCTCCTTCTCACACCCCAAACCTTCAAAACCAAACCCCCAAACCACTGATTACCAAATTGGTCCATCCTCACTCTAGATATTAAGCTGTGAATCCTGATATTGAACCTCAAATCCCGAGTGAGGCAAAATATTTCACTACAGTCCTAAGAGTCCACTTCAAGTAACACTTATTTACAACTCCAAGCCCTTTTTATGCTGATCCTAATTCCTAAAATTAACCTCTAGGACTAGGTGATAATCCCTAAATAAAAAAGACAGGTTCCCTTAGCATCCCAAACACAATATGCCAATTCCCTGTGTCCCAAGACTGACAAGTGCTGAATCTTTGGGTTTAGAGGACTGACTGATTGCTGACCCTCTGAACCTCACAACCGACTGATAAACCCTAACCTCGCGTATGCAGGGTTTGTGGGACCAGCACTGCATCCGACGTGCGGAGAGCCAGCCGGGACCCCCGAACCGCTCTTCGTCTAGGGGCCGTGCCCTGCCCTCTCCCCCTTCCGCCACCCCTCCATCAGGTCTTTTTACCACCAGTCCCCTTTCTGCCAGCTCTGCCGCCCGCTACCGCTAGCTCCTTCCGCGCACGTGTCTTCTCGCGACTCGCGAGAACTTCGCAGAGTCTGCCGGGAATTGTAGTTCTTAAGTTTCTCCCTCGTTCCCACTCAGAAAGAGGTGGAACTTTTGGAAGAACATATGGAGGCGTGGCCAAGGGATTGAAGGAGAGGGTCGAAAGAAGAGGAAGGATTCAGCCTGAGAAGCCGAGGCCCGAACCCGGATTAGGATCAAGAGCTGCCTGGGAATGGGCCCGGGGGTAGTAGTTAAAGCGGAGAAAGTAGGTCCCAGGGGAAGCGAGCCTGGGGTGTGGTCACCCTTGAAAGGACAAGGGCAGCACGCACATCCCCCACGAAAGGGTGAGGCTGGAGGGTTGCAAAAGAAGAGGAGTCGTAGACGCCTCTACCCTCCTGCTGGGAAGTGAAGCAGCTTCCGATCGCGAGGAGCCTGTCTGACTGAGATTTACTGTCTGCAAATAAAGGCACTGGACTAGGCACTCTCCAAACTTCCCTTTGCCCCCAACACTGTGACTTTGGCGTGTGGGTACCGGGGAGTGGACATGGCGACTCATAATAAGAAGAGAACAGAAGCGGAGGGTCAGAGAGAGCAGCTTTATTAAGCAAAAAAAGAAGGGGGTTGTTAGTACCACCCACCCCAAGGCTTGGAAACAGAGCGAAAGTTCCGAGGGTCCCTTTCAGGCCACGTCCACGCGAGCGAAGCTCTGGTCCATGCCCAGGCTGTTCTCCACGAACACCTCGTACTTGCCGCTGTCCTGCGGCGTGGCCCGGCGGATGGTCAGCGTGGTGTTGGTGCTGCCGATCTCGAAGTAAACCCTGCAGGGGGGAGGGGGCGGGGCCGCGGGTCAGTTTACGGGCTTCCCGGCAGCTCCGTTCTTCACCTCCCAGGTCCCCTCCCTCGTCCCATTCCCGCGGGTTTTCCGGGCCCCATCCGGCCTAGGTTGCAGCTCCAGGCCCTGCCCTGGCAGCGGGTCCCCACCCTTGCCTGTCATCCTCCTCGATGTCCTTCCCGTCCTTGGTCCAGCCCACGTCGGGCGCAGGCTCGCCCATGATCTCCGCAGTCAGCGTCACCGTGGCGCCTTTGCGCGCTTTAGTGTTATCCAGGCCCTTTTGGATTTTCGCCGGGACTAGAGAAAGGGGAAGGGAATGCGACCCAGCGAGGGACCTAAAGGTCAGGCGGGACATCACCCTCCCTCCCAACTATTACCCCCCCCCACCCCGACCCTAACTACGGTATGGATTTGAACTCCCCGCATGACCTTGGGCAAGTCTTTAGCCTCTCTGGGGCTTCAGCAGCTCAGCTGTCGAACGAGACTAATCCCTGCCCCTCCTACTTCCTAGGATTGAATGGAGGATGAAAGATGCTATGGGTGAAAGCCCAGGAATGCTCACACCTCTCGGGGTGCCTCAGAGACAGCTCTGGATAGTGGACATTGCTCTGGGTTGGGAGCCAGCAGATCAGGGCTCTCTCTAAACCCTAGCTCTGCTTCTGGATCGCTGTGACCTTGGACTTCTTAGCCTAGGTGGGATGGGATCCCGAGGTAGGAAGGACTGCACAGGCCGAGCGGTGCGGCTCCGCGCCCTACTCTGCGCCTCAGGCTGTGCCAGGGGCTGGGCTGGCCACATGCCCACCCGGACTCAGCTAGGCCCGGGGATAAACGCGCTGCTGCATCGGCTGCAGACGCCGCGGGGGCGCACTTACCTTCCACGAGGATGTGCGCCGAGTCGGAGCACTGGCCGAAGGGGGTTGGTGATGTTGATGCTGTACTGGCCCAGGTCCGCCAGCTCGCCGTCGCGCACCACCAAGGCCACGACGTCGGGGTCCTTGAAGATGTAGCGGTACTTGGGCCCGTCGCGCAGCTCCTTGCCGTCCTTGCTCCAGCGGATAAACGGGTCCGGGAAAGCCGATATGCGGCAGGTCAGGTTGGCCGCGCTGCCCTCGATCAGCACCACGTCCTTGAGCGGATCCAGCACGCGCGGCGGCCGGGTCTCCCGCAGCTCCTTCCGGGACCTGCTCGCGAGCAGGGTCAGGGCCCAGAGACCCTCCCGCAGCCCTGTCCGCCCGCCCCCAACCCCCTGCCCGCCCCCTCGGGCGACTAGACTTTCAGAGTCGGGGAGGCACAGGGGAGGGGCCGTTCCTGAATCATTACCCTGATGAAATGGTCTGCTCTCGTGGGCCTCCTGCCACTCCTCAGCATCTGCTCTCCCATAAATCCAGTGGCCTTAGCCATCCCTGGCCCTGGGCTCAGGACCGCCCCGTCCGCAACGCGGGAATGCGGATTCTGCAGTTCCAGTTCCCTTCCTTCAGAGGCTTTAAGGCTCCCTCCTCACCTGTGGCCCCGGTAAGAGGCCTGGATACGAATGGCCGCTTTCTGGACCTGGGGGTCGTTGATATCTAGGGTACATCCCGGAGGCGGGGCCGTAGCCGCCGGCTTTTTGGCGGGAGCTGCTTTGGACATCTGGGCAGCGAAAAACAAACACGGGGGTCTAGACTAACCCAGAGACTTTCAGCCTTTGCTCTTCGGATTCAGAACATCCCCCGGGATGGACGTGTCCAGAGCTGGTCTGAGGACAGGACTCACCGTGGGGGTGGGGGTGGAGGGGCGTCGATTTCGGACTTGAGGGAACTAGGTGGGTAGCAGGCGGTGCGATGCCCTTCCGATGGCACAGTAGGGGCGCGGGCAGGTGCTCAGCCGTGGGCCCTGGTTTTATACATCGCTCCCCTCCTTGCCTTGTTTGGCGTGGTTGCCCCAAGCCCCCCGGGACCCTAGCTCCCGCCCCTTGAACAAAGCAGGCTCTTTATTTAGCTCAAGGATGCCTGGGCTGCTGGCTCAGTCGCTAGAATAGGCCTAGGCCAGGGGGTGGGGTGGGGGGAAACTCGAGCGGCTCTGGGGTGCACCGGGCGTCAGCGCCTGGACAGCTGGACAGCTGGACAGGCCCCATCTCCTCTCAAGGCAAGGGGTGCCCTCCCACTCCGGGGAGGACCAGACGGACCCCATGCCGGCAGGAAATTCAACTCCTTTCCGGGGCAACTTGACACTCAGTGGGTCCCTGGACAGTGGGACAATGTGCCCTTCAGGAGATACTGTAAGTTAAGGAGTGCAAGTGTGTGGGGGTGGGGGTGGGGGTGGGGGTGGGGAGGGTTTCCTTGAATGAAGCCAGAGAAGTGGCAGACTTCTCTGTCCACCCAGCCAATTATGAGAAGGCCACGTGGCTGTCGGGACCAATCCGAAAGCGCCTTACCCCACCCCCACCCCAGAGTCTAGGTTGTCATTTCCGCACTGTGCCCCCTGGCGGTAAACCGAGATAAACCTAGAGAGGACGGTCAAGATTTTTAAGAACAGTGTCCCTTCCTGCCACCCCTATCTCCACTCACTCTTCTCCACGTGCTATGGTATGGGCCGCACTGTCCCTGGAGATGGGCACTAATACCGATTCAGCAGCTTTGGGTCGGCCCAGGCCCATATGGGGCACAGCTGATGTATAGGGGCATCAGAGGTGATGGGGACATGCCCGGTGTCCAGTCTGCCAGGCAGAGAGAGCATCGCTTCTTCCATTTACTGCAACTGCCCGCCCGGGTATGGAACACTGTCACCTTCTGATGAGAGCAATTTTGACACAGCTCGGCTGATATAAATTACCTTTGCTCCTCCGGGTTTGGAACAAGCAGTTCATGTGCCATTTCCAATGGAGATGGGAAGGGAGTTCAAGATCAGAAGGGCGACGGGAGAGGAATTTTACCATTTGTCAGGATATGAGTTCAGGCACCTAATTTTTATATGAAAACACTTGCAGTGAGTAGGGGAATTACAGATTCTCACAGGCAAACTGTATATCTTCATCGCTAAAATGACAGTTGAGCTAAAAGATGTCTCTCTGGTCCCTTCCAGCTGCTTTAACTGCTGGTTTATGATGATAGGTATTGCCTTTTCCCTCGGGTCCCGAGAAGCCAGAGGCTGGGCTGGGATGACGTTGTTTGGGCTCCAGCCAAGGGGCTCTCAACCTAGATCAGCAGCACACCAGCACCAGCTCTCTCTGCTTGTGGTGGCAACTTTATTTTTGTCACTTTGTCAAGAACAGGGTTTTCAAGGGGTGAAGGGGGGGTGGGGGAGGACAGTCCCTTGAACCAAAGGAGAACTGGTGCCCTTCTCTCCCCACCTCAGTTCTAGAACCCACTAACCATTCTGTGGCACTGCAGCCAGAGTCAAGGTGCCTTCACCCCCAGCACACTTCACAGCAGCTTGCCATGGGGATCAGAAGGTCCAGGCTGGGTGTCCCCGGGGGTCTAGGAAAATGCTGGTCTGTAGCATCATCACAGCAGACACACTGCCCAGAGAACTCACAGCTGCCCCGGACAGCTGGTGCCTGGTTGGTGCTCTGACGCTGAGCGCATGGGGGGTGGGCTTGTCCTGGGCTTCACACCACCTGTTCTCATCATGATAAAACCCCCTCTGCTTGGGGCACCGGGGCCAGAGCTGGGAAGCATTGGAGAAAGAAGGCTGAGCCAGGATTGGGGTATGGGCCGGTCCGTTTCACTGCCTGGCATCTTCCAAGGTGTGACGATGGAACATGTGAGAAAAGGTGGGGACCACCAGCGTGTGGTTAGAGCATTGTGGTGAGGATTCAGGGTCCTGCCAGGATTCCAGAAACTTCAGAGGGAAAAGCAGACTGAAGTCTCTCTTCCCTCTAGGAATAAGGGAGGGGTAAGGGGCAGGAGAGTCAGGGAGGGAGGAGGACATCTGAAGGTGCTGGCTGGTACACCTGTGCTCTCCCTGGCCCAGAGAAGGCCAGAATACTCCTGTCACAGCTCCTTGCTCCCCGGCCACCTCTCCCCATAGATCACACATAGGTCCTGCTGCTTGCTATTTTTATTTCCCTTGTGACAGACAGACAGACAGCTGCACAGACAGCTGGATGGCTTGGGTGGAGGGGAATGGTCAGGAAAACATGAGCAATTAGGATTGGGTGGAAGGAAAATTCATAAAAGTCAATAAATAAATAAATATGCATGGGAAGAAGGGCAGAGACCACGAAGGGCCAGTGGGGACATCCTTGGGCCAGCACAGAGCCCAGAGCTGCACCCGCTGAAGCAACAGGAGAGCACTGGGCTGAGTGGCCACTGCCTCCTGCCTCCAGCCCCCCACAACTCTTCTATGGGATGCTGGCGGCTGGCCCATCCCATCCCCACCCGAGTCCTCTCTCCTCTCCCTCCCTTATCTTGCTGTCCTCTCTCACATGCTGCCTCTGGCACCCTGCCACTGTCCATGTCCTGTCCCTGCTTTCCTGACACTCCCAGCCCATGGCCTCGACACCCTGGGCTCCTTCCTTTTCCACATCTCCAGCCACTCACACCTCCTGAGTTACTTTCCCCTGGATGCACTGTCCCCCATCCCCAGAACCTCCCTAGAGTCTCCCACCCACTTCCTCTCACTTTCCCATTCTGTTCTTGCCCCTCTTCCTGCTTCCAACTCCACCCAGCCTGGCCAATGAGTCTCCAGCTCTGGCTCTGGCCTTGGTGGCATTGGCCGAAGCCCCCGCAACTGGGGCCTCTGTCCCCGCAGGTCCATGAGGTAACAGCCCGGCTGGATTTTTCTGCTGGTGGTGTCCGAAGCCCTGAGTCCACCCAGTTCAGCATGGGCCCTGGAATGTCCCGCAGCGTCAGCGGGAGCCCCGAGTGGAATCCCGGGGCCAGGCTGTGGTCCGAGCCACTAGGAGCTGCCTGGGTAGGAGCGGAGCAGCACCTTGTGACGGGTGGCGGCCTCGGCCCTGCGACGCCGCTGCTCACCCAGGAACTCCTTGAGCCGGTTGGTGGTGAAGGTGAGCGTCTGGCGGCGCAGCTTCATCAGGTAAGCGTCCTGCAGCCACGGGTGGGCCAGGCAGTCCTGCAGGGAGGGCCGGCTCCTGCCAGGCCCAGACAGGAATGGTGAGCCTGGAGGGACGGCCTAGAGCAGGGCTGGGCTCTGTCCTCCCGTATACCTGAGTCCCGCACCTGGATTCACCCTTAGTGAGTGACTCTGGGCAACTCTCAGTGTCCCAGCCTCTGGAATGGGGACAGTGATTCTGCTTGTGTTATAGTCTCAAATGGTGGGTAGGACAACCACTTAGTAGTAGTAGTAGCAACAGTGTATTATTGAGGGCAGGGGAGGAGTCGGGGAAAATCCTAGGCATGGGCTAGACTAGGGCAGTCCGAGGCCAAGAAGGTAATATGGGGAGCTGGCAGGTGTAGGGCCCACTCACCAGGGGTGTACTGAGAGGACCTTTCGCAAGAAGAGGGTGGCGCTTTGGGAGGTGTTGGGGTACAACTGGAAGGCATCAAAGCGGCCCCCCACAATACGAGCCTCTGTTTCCTGGGGGTCTGGCTCATAGAACGGAGAGTGTCCACTGAGCCTGTGGTGGAGACAGTTCAGTTGAGACATATGAACAGAGGGTCAATGCACAGGTCCAGGGAGACATTAGTATGGGGGTTCTAGGGGGCACAGCACTCAGGGACAGGGCTATGGCACCTGGGGACACACGTGCTGGGGAGGGGGAAGAGCGTGGGCAGAAGGTGGGTCCGGAGCACTCACATGATGTAAGTGAGCACACCCGCACCCCAGATGTCTGTGGCGGAGCCAATGGGGTCTCCCTTCACCATCTCAGGAGCTGACAGGAGACAGAGGCCAAGTTGAACCAGTTTCCTGGTGGCAGGGAAGCAGGAAAAGGCTGGGGAGGCCCCTGAGGTCACCACCGTGGGTCAGAGCAGCCTCCAGGGGAGCTGTGGGCACCTGAGGAGTCCGCCCAGACTCTGAATGGTGGGTCACCAGAACCGCAGAGTTGCTGAGAACCAGGGTCACTGGCTCCCTCAGATCAGCTCCCAGGTGGAGAGCCCATTCACAATGAACGAGGCCAGCACAAAGACGAAGAGTCTTTGAAATGGGCCTGGCCGGCTACCATCCCGGCCCGCCCCTTCTACGGTAGCTATAGGACCCTGGGCAATGTACTAAACCTGTCTGGCACTCCAATTTCCTCATTTGCAAAGTGTGGCTTTCAGAATAAATCTAAAGGATACAGATAATGCACATAACGTATTTAGCAAGTAGCTAAATGGTAGCTGGTTTTCCTTACTTATATAAATTAATATTGGCTCTCCTATCTTTTCAGCTTTATCAAATCCTGGCTCAACCTTTTAAAACTGTCTATATGGGACAAATAACCTCACTAGGCTTCTGTTTCCTCATCTGTAAAGTGGAAGTAATGTTATGCCAATCTCCAGGGCTATTGTGAAGATAAACTGGAAAAAACGAACAAACATAAAAGGGACTTTGTTCGTTTCTTGCACACCGTAAGCTCTCAATAAATGGCATAGATGTGGGGGAAGTGGGGGAAGCTATGGCTGCTGCCCCAATGGCCGTACCCCAACCGCCCCACCCTGGCTGGCGCGGTGCCCTCACCCATGAACTCCAGTGTGCCCGTGCGGTGGCCCAGGGGCCGCAGGGCCTGGGGGTTGTAGGGCTGGGCACTGCCGAAGTCCACAATCTTGAGGGCGTTGTCAGAGGCCAGCAGCAGGTTGTCTGGCTTGATGTCCAGGTGCAGCACGTGCCGGCCGTGGAGGTAGTCCAGGCCTTGTAGCAGCTGCACCACGTAGGTGGCCACATCGTCCTCTGAATATCGGAACCTGGAGGGTTCAGGGAAGGCAGGTGATATCCCAGCCCAGCTCCCCCTGCTCTGGTTCCCGGCTCCCCCAGAATGCCCGGCTACCTGTCACTGAGCCCACAGAGGAGCTCCCGGTTGCCACAGCTCTCGGCGATGAGCACGAGGTAACGCGGGGTGATGTAGGCCTCGTGCAGGGACATGAGCCGCTCGTGGTGCAGCGTTCGCAACACTTCGTACTCCTGCAGGACTCGCCGCTTGCCCTCGGCCGCATAGGGCACGATCTTGGCCACAAACGTCCGCCCAGTGGCATTCTCCCGGCATGCACGCACGACACCAAAGCGCCCCCTATGTGTTAAGGGGACACCACAGGCTTAGAGGAAAGAGGGGGACACCACCAATGAAGGATAAGGGGGCTGGGGCTGGGAGAGCAGGGACTCGAGTGTGGGCTCTGGGGTTTAATCTTAGAAGCCTGGGTTCGAGTCCCAGTTCTGCCCTTCAGTGACTCTGTACCTTAGGCAAATCCCATAACCTCTCTAACCTCAGTTTTCCCATCTGTGAAATGGGTGATGACGATAATGCAGTGGCTTCCTCTCCAAGTGATGAAGATTAATGGTGATCATATGGCCACAGAGCTTAGCACAGATTAATTGTGATCATGTGGCCCAGAGAAAATC